GGAGCTACTACAGTGATCTGGGTAGGGGTAAAAAAGCCTATCATATGAAAGGAAACTGGAAGAGATTGGCTTTCTAGCCTAGCAAAGCAGGCCAGGAGGCAATATGACTAATCCGAGTTTGTCAGGGAGTTAAACATCAGGGAGGAAGAAGAGCTGTTTAAGCTAAAGAGCAATGTTGGTACAAAAATCGAGTTACTTTAATTTTCATTTGACCTGGATGGAAAGGATTATATGAGGTGATGCCAGTGATAAAAGGCTTTGGATTCAGTGACCAGGGAGATCGCTTCCAGTCCTGTGCTCTCTATGACCTTTTTAATAGACTCAACCCAGGGTGTTGATCAAAATGACATTTTGATTTTCAAGTGTTTTTTGGGCTTCATACTATTGCACAGCTCAGTTCTCCCTTGAGCTTGCTTAACAGTGGGCATGTCTATGAGAGATGTTTACTTCAGGGTAGACTAATCAGGTCTGCAATAAATGTCTCACATCTACATGTGTGGCCCTACTAGGCCACAGGAAACTAAATAACTCTGCAGCAAGGTAGTGCTGCAGAGTTTTTTAGCATGTGTAGATGCTGACCCAGCTGGCTGGAGCATGAGGGTGCTTCAGTGTGGGGACTGCCTGCTGGCTAGCTCCACAGTGGAGCATCCTCGTGCCCCAGACAGCTCCTCTGCAGCATGTTGAGCTGGGTCAGAGCAGCCCTGGGTTTGAACCTTCACTGGCACACGTTCAAAGAGAAATAAGCAGTTTATTGCTGCATGCTAATAGTATGTGTGGACGTGCCCACACAAATTTGAAGTGCTTCTTTCTTTTATATAAGCAAGAAAGGTAATCTGCAACATTCAGTTAACAAAGCCTAGAGAAATGAGTCAGTGGATAGTTCTGGAAGTGGCTTGTGAATCAGAGATGCTACTTGGGAAATGATTGAAGCAGTTACTAATTTAGTGTGGTCCATAATTTATGACCAGTGTCCACAGTTACCTATCACATTTACTTTCATTTTCCAGAGGCTAAGAGATGACATCTGCCATCTAATGTTGTGAAATGGTTCGGTTAGGGCTATTGTTTCCAAGGCAGATTGAAGCCTGGAAGTTTTTGCAGGTTTGGGAATTGGATATTTGTTTAAGTTGATAGCATTATCGCAATGTGCTTCAGGACTGAATGAAGATGTTTTTAATAGCTTTAGCCTGATCCTCATATGGCTTGAGGGATCCATTTGGAATATTCTGGAGGTCCTCAGAAATTTTCAGTTTCAGATTAGCCAATTGTATTTCCAAGTGGCATGTGTGTCTTTCTTGATTTTTGTGTGTGTGTATGTTTGCCACTGTTCAGCATGTGTTTGTTGTTTTAATGATCCAGTTATGATTCTCATTGCAGCGTTCAGCTGCATGGCCAGAGATGCGGTATGTGTGCCACTCACCCAAAAGGGAACTCAGTATGCAGCAGTCAAGCATGCTAATGCTTGTGCTGTTGCTCAGAGTTTACTTGCATCTGCACTGTATGTTTTAGCTGCGAGTTTTTGGATGAGACTTGTCCTTGGTTTTATCTTTTTGCATGGCTTTTCCAAATGAACTTTACAAGCCAAGGTTCTCTCCAGTGTTACACCTGGGTTCTTCACAAATTAGGCTCACTGACAATTTTGTTGTTTAGGTGATAGACTACTGCTTAGAGGGGGAGGCACTGGGGCAGAGCTTCCAGCATTGAAAATATTCTGTGTTCATCTTAAGGTAGATAGATATGGGGTCCTTGGGCTGGACACCCCTGAAGATAGACTAAAACAGGACAGGACAGTTAAACCTTCTCTATTCACTTTCAAACTGTGGGTAATGTTGGTTCTTTTGGGTGCTTTCCCATGTTTGAAGGGAGCAAAGACTATTCCCCCATGCCAGCATTTGGGGTCTTCCCTAAACATACAGCTAAGCTCATTCTGTGGCCCAAACTTCTTGAGGACTTTGAGATAAATGCTGTTGTTATGAGTGTTTTTTAGTAGCCATAAGGGTCCTTTTGATTTCCTGGTTAGTATTTGGTGATGGCAAGTGCTCCATTTCACCACTATGCCAGACGCTTGGGGAAAGATGTTTCTGGATCTTTTGTTTGATCACCTCTTCAGTTTTCATTTTTCAGGTTTGGAGAAGGTGTCAGGTGATCACATTGCCCATTACTTTTGATTGATATGTTTTACAAGATCTGTTCATTATGGCTTTGCCACTGGAATGAATGAAGTCCAAAATTATCCACCTTCTCATTCCATGTCTTCATGCAGATGGAGGTCAACAACTCTTCAGTGCATTTGTTGTGTCCAGATCAACATTCTTTTTCAAGCTGTTTTGAAGAGTGCTTCTGTCTCTTGTTGCCAGGAAGGAGTATAATGGCCACAGTAAATGTGTTTCAGAGCTGCTTTGATAAGAAGTTGAACAAAGCTTGAGCTGATTCTGTCTTAAGCTTCTGTAGTATATGTAGCCCAGTTGACTTTGCAGAAATTACAATATGATTTTGGCATTGGTTCAGTCAGTGATATTTCAAAGTTGATGTGTGACATAATGGGTCACTGTTGGCTGCAAGGAAAGTATCCAAGCACTGTTTGTGAACCTTATGGAAGAATGCCGCTATTGTCTTTTATTAGAAAGCAGAGGTTTGGGCTGTGTTCAGTGTTCCACCTGACTGAACAAATAGCCCTTTTATTTAGAATTAAAGAGAAGATGGACATCTCAAACCAAACCCAGATTATGAGCTGCTCACCAGCCATCTTGTATCTGGAATAGCTCCATTGTGAGTGGTGGTTGTAAAAGACACCAACATACACAGCAGGATGGGAGGATGGTAATGCAGGCGTCAGCCAGTCAAAATTGGGAAGTTTACAGATGTTTGTTATGATCAGTTATCTGATTCATATCATAGCAATAGATTCCCACCGTCTTGGATTCCTCTGGAACTGAGACTATATGCTTCATACCTCATGTTCTTCATAGCCATGAACTGTGCATATTGCACATTGTGCATAGCATTCAGCCTGAGCTTCTTGTAGAACAATAACATCACTGTTACTCACCTTGAGAAATCTTGACAGGTAGATGCACTAGGTATGTGACAGATTTTCCACCTTAGGTTGGTACACATGTAGACCTGCTCCTGTGGTTCCTGTGTGCTACGATACAAGGTCTCTTAGTATAAGTAGCAACATCAAATATACTAAGGAATTAACATATCTGCTTATTGTTAGTGAATTGCATATAACAGAAGCATCAGTTGAAAGTTATTTCTATGTCCTATTTCTCTGTGCTTGCTTTTTGTCATCTGTGCTTACAAATATTAGTGTATACTAAGAGTTTGTGTGAGTGTGTATCAAACTAATGTAGTTATGTGAAACATGCACTACTGCAACTAGCCATGATCCGTTGGCAGTTTTCTGTAACATGTTGGAAGCGAATCTTTAGAAAGGTGATAGGAAGACTGGTTTGGAAGGTTAGCTTGAGAACAGCATCAGGAGCATATTGTCACTCATGGAGCTGGGGGTATGATGCAATAAGACACAAGAGCAAATAAGGAATAATGTAATGCTGCATATCTCTTACTCTTCTTCCTGGAATCTAATTATTTTCCTCCCAATTGTGGCTTCTGGGAAATGTTATGCTGTAAAATGCTGAAAGATAATAAATTCTCAGGCACTATAAACAGAAATATTGTTCACTCTGCTACACAGTGACAGGTTTTTTTTTAAAAAGTAAATTTATATCTTCGAATTACTGGAAAGATGGCTAATATTATTCTGTCAGGCATTTGTCTCATTATCTCCCAGCCCTTGCTTCCAGAATCAGGCAAATCAGCATTATGTCGTAGGCTGTAATATTTATGAGAAATATTGCAAATACTTGACACAAGCATCTATCGGTAAGGAGCAGAGTACAGAAATCAACAGGGTGCTCGTATTTGAACAGAAGTAGCTGAATACACCAAAGTTAGTGCTAGATAAGCTGAAGGAGTGTAGGTTGTAGCTATGTTCATCTAAGGACATAGGCAGACACAGTTTTTTAGGTAAATCCAATATATTTTATTAGACCAACTCAAATAGTTGGAAAAAATTTCTTTGCAAGCTTTCGGGCACAAACAACCTTTGTCAGGCTGAGGAAGTGTCTGCATATGGTCTGTGCTCTTCCTGGATGGAGTGGTAAAGCAGCCATTGGCCAGTACGTATGCAAGAATGCCAGTCAATTAAAATGTAAACTGAGGTGGTCAGTTTATAACCCTATAGAAGAAGAAATTCCTTTTGAGGTTAAGCTAGTGAAGCTGGATGCTGCAGGATTCTGGAGACCTGGTTCAGTTCATGACTCTACCTGAGATTTCCTGTGTGCCCTGCAGCAGTTGCCTAATCGTTCTATGCCTCATTTCCTCCACCTGTAAGTGGAAATGTTACCTCCCCACTTGATGAGGCTGTTGTGAATGTAAATGTTTTGAAAGCACTCAAATACTTTGGTGACCGTGGCCATAGAATTTCCTTGATTGAGTATGCATATGACTTTATTAAACAATTACATACCTTTTGATCAAGCCTGTGGTTGGTTTAGCAAAGCAAGGACTACAGCGACCTGCTTAACCCCTTATACCTGAACAAATGAGGTATTTTTAATCACTGTGCTTTTTCAGACAATAATGCCAATTAGGAATAAAAAGTATCTTATCCCTTCATGTTGATTGTATCAGTCATGGAATTTTTTATTCTTTTAGTCTTTTGAGGTCAATTTTTAGACAGATCCTCATTGAGAATCTTTTGCAAAACGAGAGAAATAACATTTTGAAAACAGGGGAATAGCATTGTAAATCTTCAAAAAAGTTGAGAGGAGCAAGGGACAGATTTTTATCTTCAACTGTTATTTTTGTCCATCTCAGATCTACTCAGTTTTATTCATTTCATTACATAGCTACAACTGTGAGTTTTTAAAGAGAAACTTAAGTTAAAAACCACTGTATAAATAAAAAACATGCTTTTGGGGGGGCGGTTACAGAAACAGGAGGTGTGTGGAAACCTGACACTGCAACATCATATGCTTGAACCAGTGCAGAGAATTCCTCGCTATGAGCTTCTTCTCAAGGATTATCTAAAGAAACTACCAGAAGAGTCACCAGACAGGAAAGATGCTGAAAGTAAGTACAGCTTCCACAATCTGCATATGAACATGAACTATACGCAAACTACAGGAGGAGTTGTATTTTGTTCTGTCTTTTATTTATAACTTCAAATAGTCCAAAAAGTAAAGGGGGCAACTGCAGAAACAGAGAAGTGAGTTAACTTAGGGTTACCATATGTCCAGGTTTTCCCACGTCCTCTTTTTGGGTCCTCCATCTGCATCCCAGTGTTGTTTTTTTAAATTTGAACCAATGTCTGAGATTTTGCTCTGCTCCGCTGATGGGAGCAGATCTGTGGGGACTGGGTGTTGGAGGGCAGGGCTTGAGGACTGCCCGTGTCCATGTTCTTGTCTGTGTGTGTGCATGTACCCACCTGCCGATCCTGGGGGAAGCTGTCCAGGCATCGGGGCTGTGGCAGGTCATGGGGGAGGCACCCCCCAGTGGGGGGCGGGGCGGTGGGAAGCTCTGTGGCCAGACTGGCGGCACCAGGGCTGGTGCCCATTCTTGCAGGGGTGGGGTAGTTGGGAGACATCCAGGGCTTTTGGTGCAATACAGGAGCCCAGCCCAGAGTTAGGGGAGCCACAGGCATCCCCTCCTCTTCCTTCCAGCCCGTGCCAAGCCAGACTCGCTCTGCCACCACCTGCATGAGTCGGAGCCTCTGTGCTGTGGCCTGCTGGAGGGGGCAGCAGGACTGGGGGGAGCAGGGGGTGCAGGTCAGGAGTGAGGGGCACTGGGGGGCTGTGGCTTGGGAGTAAGGGCCACCAGGAGGGTGGGGGCCTGTGGGTCTGGAGTGAGGGGCAGCAGCAGGGCATTGGGGAGCAGGGGACTGTGGGTTGGGAGTGCGGGGCACCGGCAGTGCCAGGGGGCTGTGGGTTGGGAATGAAGCACCCCCTGACAGGTGTCCTCTTTTTTGGAACTGGAAATATGGTAACCCTAGTTAACTAAAATACTAGCCAAGTAATCACCAGGTGATTTTATCCAGTGTTGGAGGATGTTAGAGGAACTACTGCTAGCTGGATGCTGTTTTACTAGAAATCAGGACAGCTTTAGTAAATAGAAACAATAAGTCTGTGCTTAGAGACAGGGTGTATTCAGGTTTGACCCCTCGGCTTGCTTCAGTCCAAATATAAAAGGGCACCTTTGTGATGGCTTGTGGGGAAGAAACAGTTTGTTTTAGGAATGTTTTCTGGGGATACAAGCTACATGTCATGAATACTAGGGAGACAAAATCTGTTTGTAATCCCCTCAAGAATAGTCTATCATGTAGTGTGAGCCTTGGCAATTCACACACAGGCCCTGCTTCAGTAAAGCACTTCAACATATGCACATGTGGACTGAAGGGGAGTGCTTTCTAAATTGTCCTCTTTGTTCCTCATTTCATTTGGCTTCTTGTCTGGGTGTGTAAAGAAGTGAAGTGAAATATCATTGTGTGCATGTTGACATGCTAAACGTGCAAAAAAGTATTTCCAGGTATTCGGGCTAACAAGTGCTCTGTTATTCAGGGGAAAGAAGAATGCAGTCGCTCTTCTGTAACAGCTTTCTTGCCACAGAAGTATACCTATCAGGCAAATAAAAATGGTGCTATTAAGCTATTAATCTTTAAAATGTATAACTGCTGCTACCTTTATTGCAGAATCGCTGGAGCTCATTTCCACAGCAGCAAACCATTCAAATGCAGCCATCCGAAAGATGGTGAGTAGAAATTGTGCAAGCGAATCATGATCTGATCCATTAACTAAGATCCCTAGTTGAATCAATGATTCTCTCATTGCTATTAGAGAGAGGCTGGAAAAAAATTCAAATACAGTATATCTGGATTTAAATAGAAAGCAAGTTATCCTGGCCCTATTTCCCCTGTTTACCATAAAACCAGTTTACAAACAGTTGGTTAAAGAACTGGAATGCAGGGAAGGATTTTGCGAATTAAAAAACTTCACAAAAATTGTCCTTGTCTTTCATAGAAAAAAATGTGACATTAAGAGTATATGAACAAGTTCTGCTGCTAAAGCATGCTTGTAGCTTTTCACCTGTAATCTTGTAATTTTTTAGACCTGCAGTCTTCTATCTGCATAAAAACATCTAGTGTATGCATGCAAAGCTGCAGACCTGTTTCTGAAAATTTGGTCTTAAATATCTGAAGCTGGGTGCCTCTGAATATCTGAAGCAACTGTGGAAAATTCTGCATCTTAAAACAGGTTTAGCAACCTGTGGCCAGTGGGCTGAATCTGGCCTTCAAAACCATGTAATCTGGCCCGCAGACTTGGGGTTAAGCAGCCTTCAGTGGTGGGGAACTCTCCTTCTGCCACCACGGAGAAAAGAAAAGACAGGGGCCAGGCTCTATCACCCACCTACCTGCCCATCTCTGACCCAAAATGAATCATTCTGGCCCCCAACCTGAACAGGTGCCAACTGCTGTCTTAAAATATCAGGCCAATTTTTTAATCTGGCTTCCATGGACCTATTTTAATGTGCTTTTGGCCAGATTCAGTTCCACTTAGTAGGCATGTAAAGGGACATAAGGCACCTAAATGCAATCCTATTTCACTCAGCACAAGTCCCTGAAAAACTTTTTAAAACAAAAGGTAGATAGATTTTCCTCTTCATTTCTGCTTTAGCGTGGTTCAGTCTTAGGAGTATGATGATGGTGTGTTATAGAAATAGATGCATGAATGGATTTTCAGGGACTTGAACAGGGTGGAATAGAATCAGACTTATATGCCTAAATCCACTAAGATGTCTAGTAGGTAGAACTGAATGTAGTCCTTTGTGTGCAGAATAGACCCTGTGGTTGCAGATGATAACTTTTTTGAATGCGTGCAAAAGTCTTCATGAACTTGTGCATCTAATATTTCTAAAATACCAAATAAATGCCTTATTTGTGCCTACAAATTATTTGTAGGTGAAGTAATTTCCCTGTCAAAATCAAGCCCCTAAAGTTCAGCATCTCAGTAAGGAAATATGATGAGAATGTATAAAGGTATATGATATTCTCGAAAGAGATTATCTTACTATGAAACTGCTTTGGAAATATTAAAATTACTGCCATGTATTTTCACCCCAGATAATTTGTATTACACTTCTGTTTATTTAATTTCAGATTACTTTACATATGTTTTTTTCTTTTTCCCTGCCTGTCTATTCAGCTTTCTCTAAAATAGCCTCCTCGCCTTGTTATTTTGAATACAAATTATTCTTGGCAATGCATTGAGTTACACACTTGTTACACTCTCTCTGCCCCAACTAAAGGAAGTCTTGTCAAATTGGCTGACAGCCATATTACTGTGTTCCTCCTTCGCTATGTCTTGAGACATCATAAGGCTGTTTCCTGTTGCTGTTATTGGGAGGAAACCAGCTGATGTCTGAATCCTTTCAAATGTCTCAGAGAAAGTCTATTTAGAAACCATCTATTTATGTTTGAACTCTCTGTTCTTTTGCTGGCAATAGCTTTAAATATATGTATATTCAACATTGGGCCTTTAACTTCACTGCAGGTATTTCATTTCAGCTACAGTGTACTTGGTATCTGTGGCCATATCAAAATAGGATATTTGATAGACTTTCAGGAAAATGGAAAAAATACCCCACTACCTCAGTGGTGGGTTTTGTGTGGAATGAGGCAGTAGGGCTGTGCGAGCGTTGGTCCCTGACTAGGTTCGGTGGAGATTCGGCCCAATTCGGTGGCCTAATCTCCGAATCCAAATCGAATCAGGATACCCTTTAATCTCTTTGAATCAAATCGGAACCCTCCGAATTGATTCAGATACATTTTGAAAGATTCAGAGATTCAGACATAGACACAGCTTTAAATGTTTTTTCTACATACCTCTAGGTAGCAGGGGCTCATGAATGCTGTGATGGTGGGGCAGATGGAGCGTCCCACAGGAGCATGGGGGAGCTCCCCAGTGTGCTCAGTAGCAGAGCCAGAAGTGGACCAGAAGCACTTCCAGTCCACTTCTGGGTCTGCTCGGGAGCACGTGGGGGTGCCCCCCCACACTTTTCCCAGCTTGGCGACTGGTGCCTCCTGGGTCAGGGGGGCACCCGGGGTCCCCCGGCAGCTAATTGCTGAGCCGGGAGGTGTGGTGTGGGAGGGCACTCCAGTGCACTCCCCACTGGACCCGGAAGTGGACTGGAAGTACGTCTGATCCACTTCCGGGTTTGCCACCAAGCATGTGGAGTGCCCCCCCTGCACTCCTGTGGGACGCTCCATCTGCCCCAGCATTGCAGCGCTCACAAGCCACACTGGTACCTCGAGGCATGTAGAACAAACATTTAAAGCTGTGTCTGTGTCCAAATCGCTGATTCTCTGAATCAGCATCAACTCTTCAGATTCAGATTTGGCTGAATCGAATCAGAGACAGTGATCTGAATCAACAAATTAAATCACTGTCTCTGATTCGGGCCGAATCCAAATCGAATAGGGCCTACTTCACACACTCCTATGAGGCAGTTATCAGTGGAAGAGGTGTTATGAGAGCTATCCAACTGTTAGAAATCTGAGAAGTTTGGGGTCAGTACATTTATTCCACATAGTCATAACAAAGCAGGTTCTTAATTAGTTCTAGGTAGTCTTCATCCAGGAAACACCAACTGCAGTGAATTGCCTTGCAGTTAATGGGAATTTCCTGAATGAGAACTTGGAAAGAGAACTGAAGATCCCAGGATTTGGCTCAGTGGTTTGTGCATGTGGTGTACAAGCCACTGGACCCTCGCCACCTGCTCGTTGTCACCCCCCTCCCCCT